TACTTAAGAACAGTTTTTAAGACCTGTTTAAAATTACAACGTTCGCATTTAGCAATTTATCTTTAAAAATACAACTCTCAGATTGCAACTTGATGAAAGCAGAGTATATGGAAAAAATGAGTATTTTATAAATCTTGAAAATATGTGCAATAATTGAAACGGTATCGCAGAATTCACAGAGAAGCTATGTAAATTTTTTAAAAAATGAATTAAGAGTTTTTTAATATTGACTACAGGTTTGTTTAGTTACAGGTCGCAGTAACCATAACGGCAAAAGAAACCTATTTTTGATAAAACATTTATTTGGTGGATTATTGGGGATCTATTGTAGATTCAGTTTTTATGCATTATTATTACATAATATTTTTTTAAAGACGCTAGTACCTAGAAATGAATGTTTAAACAAGAATTCTAGTATTATTTTTAATAAAAAAATTAGCCCAGAATTTAAAATAAATAAATTTTACACTTTAATATTTTCTTTTAATTAAAACCTAACTAATAACACTTAGGTTTTCTACCTCGAGAAATGTCAATGTCGAAAGTTCCTTTTCTTCAATCTATCACAAAAATACGCTAGGGACAGAAGCTCAACATTTCCTGCAGCTGTGCTGATTCCAGTTATTTTTCAATGTCTGAATTCTGAAAATACACTTTCACTGAGGCAATTTATTCTCATCAAAGTATAATAAATTTGTAAGACACTGTCTGCATTAAAGAAAACATCGTTTACTTCCCTTTCCACTATTTACACAATAGTTATTCTCCACTTCCCTCCCCCCTCCCGGAAAAGCTTTTTATGATACAGAAATTTAATGCTAACAACTGTAAGACTAGTTGTGCTTGGGCAGGATTAATAAATATGTTATAAACGCGATTCAGCGAATGTTTAAATTTTATGTATAATATAGTAGTCGGTTGCACATCCAGCCTTGTGCTCTGACATGCATTCGGTTTAGCCAGCCAGACTGAAGGCTGGCCGTGCGAGAGGCTATTAAAGTAAAAATAAAATAATAAACACTGTCGGTGTTAGAACAAAAGGTATATTGCAAGCATTTTTACTCACTAAAAATTGCACAATTTTTCCTTAAGCTATTTTTTAAATTTCAGATATTAACGCAATTTTTAAATTTGAATATCTCGTGCTCGAAGACATAAAAGACACGTTGATCTTCAAAATGTGCGTGCGGAACTAACATATCCATTGACTTCATTAATAGTTTTCAATATTAAGTTCATTAAACTCACATAAAATATCAAAAAACGGGAAAAAAAAATCTGAAATGTTTCAGATTTTAAATTACGTCCAAAGGGGCGTTTTTAACATTTTGTGTGTTACCTTTCTTTATTAAATATCATGTTCCTCGCACTTAAACCATAAGATCCAGTGCAACAGCAATATCGCAAAATAGTTTTAAAACGAGCATATCTTTAGAATTTCCGATACAGAGACTCACGCGCTGGAGATAAAAATGTTTTTTCTGCACAACGTTGCCATTGCTCGCTTTGAAATCCTTGAGTTTGTTAATCAAAAATTCGTCAAAGTTTTAAAAAATAGGAAATCAATCATAAAACAAATTTCAAATTTCGTCTTCCACATGCTCATATTCGTTGGAGGATTACGTTATTCAAAATTCGATGACTCTATGTACCGTTGTTTTATCACAATACGAGAAATATACATACATTTATGCAGATTTTTCATTATTTAATTTCTTCAAATATAATGCAGGACTCTAACATTTTGTGGCAACAGTTTGAAAAGTGAACCGACATTTATGAGTCCGACGCAAAATGCCAAAACGAAACTAATAGTCCTTCGGGATTCAAATCCCTTTGGACTAATAAAAAAAAATAATAATAAATAAATAAAAAAAATAAATTCAGAATTCGGGCTGCAATGTGTACGTTTGGGTGCAAGACTACGGTGAGTTCAAACTTTGGTGTCCCAAGGGTGTCTTTCCTTGAGATGAACTTATATATATTTCACTTTTTAATAAACGAAGATCACTGACCTATTTTTAGTTTTTGTCTGAAATGATTATAAGCTAAATTTAACTGCAATAATACGTTTCATTTGAAAGAAGAGTTTAACCAAATACTGTGTAAAATGAATGAAGGATTCAACGCTAAATTCTCCATAAAATTCGTCGAATCCAACAAACACAAATTCTTATACATACAACATTCTTATACATTTACAAAACTCCACTTAACATGGATACACAGCTTTATACTGAACTAAACTTTTTTTTTCTTTTTTTCTCACGATCAAGTATTTTTACAGCTGGAATCTGCCACACAATATCATGCAAAAACTGACCTTAGCATATAACTTATCTTTCACCCGTCTATACTGCAGAACAATTCTGAATATCATTTTTCAATGCCGCGTGACTGCAAACTCTTGGTAGCTCGAGACTGGTCCTCATTCTTTTAAACATTTCTAAATGACTACTAAATAAGCATTATTTCACAAAAATCCATTTATTAAATCTTTCATTTGCAACTTCACACAAAAGTTTTTTTTTCCTTTAAAGATGCTTGTACTACAGACTGTTCTACTTAAAACCTTTAAATCCGGTTTTAGGTGGGAAAGGGTAACATTGAAGTGAGTGATTTAAATTCTGAAGCTCAGCCACACCCATTAAATGCAAAAATATAAAGATCAAGGGAGGGTAGCCTGAAAGATCCATAAAGCAAACAAGACATTACATAGCATATGCGATCCAATTCATTAAAGTACAGAAGAGTAAAAATATTTTGATTGACTGAAAGCAAATTATATCCATTTACGACTTATGTCATGTAACAAAATTATACTGATATCTCACTGCATATACGAAATCTTGGAAATAAAAAGCATGTATGAAAATGTATTTTAAATTACGCGAACAAGAAATGTTGATTTTGCGTGATAGTTCTAAACTGTCATTACGATCTGGAGGGATGAAACAAGATTAAATATTCATAACTCACATACGATCTCAAATGAAAAATCTGCAATATGTGCAGAATTATCTGTTATTTAGCTATCTTATCACCGAAAATACTACCCAGAGTGCATCAAATGAGGCGACCAATATTATATCTACAAGAAAGGCCGAACACAGCACACATACAACGAAGAATTACATATAAATAATACACACATCTTAAATTTCGGCAATCAGTCGGCCGCGGTTACCCACGTACTTTTCAAGGCGGTACTTTGGTACAAGTTACTACACTTAGGGTGGATATACAATTAAATTTCTTTGCACATGCATGATACATAGAACTCCCCCCCTGATAATCCTACTTCTGAAATTATGTAAAAGCTAACAAATGGATTACTAATGCAAACTTGAGTTTAAAACGTAAATCTCAAAACAAAAAACTAAGTGGAAATTATGAAGTTCAATTATGAAAATATGTCACTGATGGACTGCTCCCAAGAATGCAAATCTAAAGTAATAAAAATTACTTAGAAATTAAAACAAGTTCATGAATCCTAATGTAATTCACATCATACCGCAGTCTTCATTTGCTAAAATATGTTTAAAGACACCAGTATTACGGCAACAGTTTAATATAATACAACAGTTTAGTATAAAAATTTTATAGACTGAAAATAAACCCAAAAGCGTCTTCAATTTTTAATGCATAAAACATTTAAGTACAATATCCTACGGATGAAAACTTTAATTATTTTCACAACAAACACATAATGAGATCTAAAAGCATATAACTGAGTTTGAAAATAATCAATTTAAAACAATGTAGTGGTACGCATTCCATCACTATAGACATATCCTTAAAAGTCAAGCAACTATTATAACCACGCACAGGATTTGGAATTTCTAAACTCACCGATCACAAAATGCCAAAGAAAAAAACGACCACAAATATCCTTAGGAAGAAAAAAAAATCTGAAATTTTTTATAGTACGCTGACGAAAAATTGGTCCCAAATTTTATTAACACAGTATAATCCTTAAAATGTATCTTTCCAAAAGGATAATATTCCTCGCAAAGTTTAATTCAGAATGCAGAGTACAAGCGAAGACCTTGTTCTTTATAGTTCTGTATGCTACCAGTTATATACATGGAAAACAAAATTTAAAACGGTACATAACACCTCTACAGAGGTCATTAGAGAGGACATTAATTAGGTTAAACAAATTTCTAAAAGAATGGGCTACAGGCAACCTGAAAACAGAAAAACAGCACGTAATACTATACTATAGTTGATCTGAGATCGCGATGTTACGTGGAAAATTAGTAAAGGATACGATAAATTTCAAACAATATGATAAACTGTCAGACGATTAGTAACGTTACGAAAAACGCTGCTCTTAAATTCCAGACATTTTTATCTACATAAAACATCACAGAGTCTCAACATTTCTTAGCAGAATATCATTCTAAAAAGGAAATGAAACAGCAATAAAAAATTCGCACTCGATTAACTCTGGCGGGAGGGGGGAAAAGAAGGTCTGAGCTTTACAACAATAAATTAAATCACCGGCCAAAATTTTAGTTACGCAAATTAAAACAAAAAAATTTTGATTTAATTTCTGTTACCTTTAAAATAAGTTCAAGGATTTCAATCATAAATATTTGTGAGCTGAACCTGAACGTATTTTATTTTTGATCAAAGATTTATCAATGATACTTGCATCTGGTCGAAGATATCTGCATTTAAAAACTACTTTTATAAAATACTGGATTGTACAAATTTCTTTTGAGAAAAAGATCAACAAGGAAAAAAAGTATTTCATGATGAACGAACGAATGCAGTGGATGTGCGATATATTCCGGTAGGCGCAATTTCTATGATTCGCAAGATTTAATACGAAACAAACTTTATCACGACCGAAAATCAATCCATTAATGCACATTTAATCGGAGAAAGCTGTTATATATCCATTAAAAATTCAGCAGTTCATTTATTTCCTGCAGAAGAACACCGCCTAGTTTAATCGAAACCGAAAATACAAGTTTCGAAAACTTACTTACTTGGAAAACTTTTCACAGTTGCACTATCCGCTCAAGTTGGTTGTAGAGAAGAAACATAAAACCCCAACTTAATTCGAATAAAAACTTGAGCGTAGAGAAAAAGTCCGCATCGACCAGCACCCGCACGACCAGTTCGCATCCCCAGTCCAGACAGCGTTAAGCCTAAATCGGGCTTGACCTTCCTTTGGAAACGGAGTTTTCCCTCAAGACACCAAAAAAGACCGTGGTCACTCTCCAAGCCTGAATCACAAGACCTCATCCTATGCCCGTCGAAACACCTCTGCTGCTCTGGGTGCGATAGAGAATGCGGTGCAAGTGCAAGCCGCGGGTTGCCGCAATGCTCGTCACGCCATCGCCAAAACAGATTTCCGCCAAATGATCGCCAAGGTCGGTTCTTTACTTTCAATTATGCATTGTCAGACTTTTTTTCTCCTTTTTCTTCACTACTCGTATCAGGCATAGCGTAATGGTTTTTCCGGAATCACACAATGGTAGACTATCTGCATCAGTGCGCTTTGAAAATGTGTTATGTGCCAAGGTTAAGACAAGCAGTGAATAAAAATGCCTCAAAAGCGGCTTTGTGACGTTGAATTAAGCACTCATTGAGAAGTGGTAAGATATAGGGAGTCTGAAACCAGAGCTAAATAGTATTGCTTTCAAATCAACGTACTATCAGTCAGTTAAAATATTGAATTCTTCTATAAACATTTCATATATCTTTGCGTAACGCCTGAATTTTGTTTACAACTTAAAAGGAGCAAAATCATTGCGAATTAAAATATTTATAGATCGCTTTCCGGATTATTTTGAATACAAAATTAGATTATTTTATCGGTTTGTAACAAGACGAAAAACTTAATCACTTTTCAAACTGAAGAGCGAAAGGGCCTGGCTTCATTATCTTAGAATAAAGGTTATATGGCCGTCCAGACAGTATAATTGTTGGGGTAGCCTACTCCGATAACGAAGGGCCCGGTTTCGAATTTCCGAGACAACATGCCTGTAACTATGCGCCCTTTCATAGGAGGTAACGGTAGCCCACCTGTTATATGCTTTCACAATAAAGTAGCCACCACTTCTAGCCTTAATAGTGGCCAAGCCTGAGCCTTAATAGTGGTCAAGCTTGAGTGCCCGGAAGTGGGAAAAAACCGGATAACTTTGTTATATGTTCTAAGCATTATAAAAATGCTCTTTTTAGTTTCTTAAACGTAATTTGCTAGTTAGGTAAACAAAAGGCTAAGGCATTTTACATTAAGCATAACATCTTTCTTAGTTATGGCAACAATCATTATGTGGAAGAATTATCATACGATAAATTAAACTATAGTTGCATTTGTACCAATAATAAATAACTCAGGGTTTGAGAGATTCTCTTTGAAATTTCGAGCGTATATTGAAAATATTTTGAAATTCTCTAACAGTTACCTTTTTCAACACTTCTAACTAGATGGAACGTTGGAGAATTTTAATAGTTAGCTGATAGTGATAGTAAAATAAACGTTCTTTAAAAAGATGCACATTTTATTAAAACGTTTACTTCATTTTGGCAGCTTGAAATTTCCAAAGTAAAAGTATTTGAGTGGAGTTGCACTCAAGGATGTGCTCTATATACTGGTTTACGGATTAGAAACTCATAGGTGAGGTGCATATACAGTAGAACGAATTAAATTCATGTGTTATTAATTTTTTAGCCCAAAAGAGACGTTAGTCACCAAAAGAGACGTTAGTCACCAATGGGATGTTAGTCTCGAAACGGCATTTTGCGTTGAATCACTATAAACGGCGTATCTGTTTTCAAATTGTGGCCACCAAATATATCGCCCTGTATTATATTTAAAGAAATTAAATTATGGAGAATTTTTATGAATGTATGCATGTTTCTTGCATTGTGAAAAAACAATGATATCTAGAGACATCGAATTCTGAATAACGTAGCCCTCCATAGGTGATTTATGACTACATGGGTGTTTTTACGGTTTCCCCTGCTAGAAAACAAACCAACTCTGCTTAAGAAATTCTTCATAAAGGCATTTTCCTGCTAGACAGGTAGTCATCTTTTAATTTGCCATAAGGAAATAAACGAACAAACAATCTTTTTGCTATTCTCGGAGTTTCATTAATTGGTTGTTTTTAAAGCCTTCAATTTAATAACTTCATCTTCTCAGAGCGATTAATGAATTGTTGAAATACGACTTTGAATTACGTTCATTGGTTCAGTGATTCATTATTTAAGTTATTGATCACAAGACCACCAATACTTCTGGACTTTAAATTGTACCGTAGCCGTGTTCAACGTAGCGGTGCTGGGGCGAAGAGGCTGCTGAGCGCTTCCGAAGATTGTCGAATGAAACGTATGATAAAATCCCGAAGTGATACCTTGTCGGGGATATCCGAATGTGCCCAACCCTTAGGTGCCGGCTTATCAGACTTGTAATATCATGCTATGTTATTTTATTAACTTTTCATACCACTTTATATGTTTTTCAATATTACATCATCTATTAAAATGTTTTAGATTAAGTCTAACAACATCCATTTTAAACTGACAAAAGGAAACAGCGATTTTGAAAGCACTCTCATTTTTGTAACACGAGTTGATATCCCGGCAACGAATACGTGTGTATTAAGTATCTTAGATTTAACGGCTAAAAGTTAAGAGTTTTTTTCCTTCTTGTTTAAAGAAACGGTTTTTTGTTTAAGGAAAGAGCTAGGTCTCGTGACTATGTAATGACAATTCTCTGATATTCCCTTTCCGTGACGCAAAAGCTGAACATGCAATCTTAACGGAAAAATGCAAAATAATAAGATAGTTCAACGTGTATTAGAAACCAGGTAGAACATGTTTACACGCTAATCTTGAAATAGCATTCCGATATTTACCTTGTCTTCTCATAATTAGGCAATAAGAATTTGAAATTTATACAATTTAACATACTCCGTTTTTCGACATATGATAGTTATCCAAGTCTGTAACTTACAGAGCTTTGAAGTCATATCTATGTCATTTTCTAAAATATTTCTTTCAGGGAAATCAGTTTGTTTTAAACAATACAGTAATTAGTATTAATTTAAGGTTTTTGATGAAAGGCTAAATTTAATAATTTCTCATTGAAACTAATGAAGTCTCTAAATAAGAATATTTTCACTTTTTACATGTACTCAAAAACATAAAAGTAGCACGTGTCGATATTGTGCTAGTGAGATGAAGATTGCTTTTTAGTTCACTCAGATCTAAACACTAAGCCGAGTATATCCATATGCAGGTCGCATATAACCCAAGAACTCTCCAATTCGGTCTGCGTCATATAATAGAAAAATGAACGGAGAGTGAGAAGATGTGATGTTGACTTCCAGAAAATAAAAACGTGTTGGATGATTTTTAATAACATCAGAACTTATTCTAATGAGCTAAACAATCTTTCAGAAAGTTAAAAGAAACTAAGACGAGTAAATGAAGCTTTATAACATGACATTATTCAAAAATTAAACTGAAATTACTACAATCTTTATTACCAGAATCCTTACTGCTTGATTTTTCTGGCAAAGCCATACAAATGGCTAAATATATATATATCACTGAACGTCAGTTTATCAATAAATTTTAACAAAAGATTTCATAAATTCAGGAAACATTATTGTAGCTGCTCCTTTCTCAGTCAACATCAAGCTTACCTGCAAATCTTCTAGCGAAATAACAGTTAGATATGCAATATATAGAAAAACTATCTAAAGAAAAATATGCAGCGCCTCACAGGCAATTTTAGTTTGTTTATGATACCTCTTTACAAAAGCATTGCATTCAGAAAGAATTTTTTTCCTTGCATGATGTGCAAACCTTAATTCAAAATTAAAAATAAAAACCTTTTTGATGAATGTCTATAACATAATCTTCGGAATCCACATGAAACCAGATTCTGATGCACTTGTGTTGACAAAAATCTCTTCATGTTTACATTAAAAAGTACATAGTGTCTTCTCTCTTAATAAATATCCTTTGGCTAAAAATCTAAAAGAAATTGTATCATATGCAATAATAACATACCTGATATTTTGAGCACAAATAATTGCTAAAGTTTGAAGGTCGCGCTTTTTTATCAGACACGGTGAGGCCTTCGGCTCTCCCTTATTGGTCTCTGTGGCTCAGAATACTAAAAGTTTCGACATTCTTGCAGAAAATAAAAAATCTCACGTGCTATTAAAAAAAAAACCTAATTTATCTAGTATGCTTAATGAATTAGTTAATTTATCTAATATGCTTCCTAGTTATGCTAAATAAACTGATTTATGTCACTTTTATCTAGTCATTCAAAATCTTAGATTTTAAATTCTCATGAGAGAAAAAGTTTTAAGAATCGGGAAGCTTTACCAAAACTCTGTAATAAGATAACACTACAGAAATATATAATTATTTACTGTATTATATTTAATAAACACTCAACATAATAAATAGCATCAGAAATGATAGGATGCTAAAATATATTTGACTCTCGTAATACGAAAGTTGATAGAGAATTAAAATTTGCTTCTTATGGCCGAAATTGGAGAATTATTTTGGAATATCTTTAGGGCACAAATTGTAGTAATGTATATAATTTCTAAATGAATGATTTTTCGTTGATGTTTCGGTTTTTGTATTATTTGCCATTATGCATTTCACATTTCAATTATGTTTATTTACCGTACGTTAAAGTTTTAGCGATCAACTGAATTATTTATTTCGATATCGAGTTATAACAAATGCTCAATGATGGTTTTACAATTTCCGGTTTTCTATGAGTCCCATAAGTTACCGAATTTAGTTCAGTTATAGTGCATATCTGATACAAAAAGGCCATTCAGAGTTCCATATGATTTGTTCTTCAGTACTTGTTGCATCTAAAAGGTGATGCAAGATATTCAAAGATATTCATATTTGTATATGTTGTGTTATAGTCTAAGAAACAGCGCACACTTTCAGACGTAGCCATTCCTGGGAGGTGGCAACCAAGACATGTTTCACTATACTTATATTTGAAAAATGTAAAGTAGAATTCCTATGAATTATTGGAAAAACCCACAAATGAAGCATATTTCTATAGCAATTGTTCTCTTTCCATTCAACTTCAATAAAAGCATACCTTGACGACACTATCAGAACATTACAGACAGACCAGATGGAATATACATTGGGACTGAGGAATTTCGTGCGAATTATTTGTATGGGGCGACTAGTAACATAACTGAAATCACAAACTCCATTTGATGTAAAATTATAATTACAATAAAGTGTAAAAAATGTTAACTGTTTTAATTAAATGATCCAGTTACAAGTAATCGTATAAAAATCTAAGGTTTGATAGAATAAAGCAGGTGGACACAAAATTAAATAAAACATTTTGCTTGATTTCCAGCTTTGTTTTCACTTTGGAACGTTTGAAGAATTAATCATCATACAACAGACAAGCTCCATATGTTAAGTACTTTGAGCTTGTTAATCACTTTTTGCAGGTTATTTGGCATAATTTAAAAGTAAATTATTCCTCTGATTGTAATCAACGAATATATTAGTTGTAATCAGCGAAACAAAAATAATAATAAGATAACCAGGTAAATTTTATCTCTGGAATTAAAATTAAATAGTTGAATTTTTGCATAACAGTCGACTAAAATAATTTTCAGAACATGTTATTTTTATACACTTAATGTTTTATGATGTCTAAGATTACAGTGCAAGTCTAATAAGTTTTAGCTTATCCATATGAAATCTTACCGAAGTATATGTTTATTATGATGACTGATTTATATCAAAAATAATATTCTAATGAATAAAAATGGAAGTAATGGAAAATGACTCTTTGGACTCTCTGAAAGAAGTAGTTAAAACTGGTAATAGAAAATCAGAAATCTATTTGAATCATTATTATGGAATTTATCAATCAGAATCGAGATGTCACAGTCTGAAGGGTATAAAGCAATCAAAAAGCTAATTGTTTTGAATTATGAATGTGCGAAAACACTTTTTAGTTTGGAAAATAATCAGTTTGACATACATGACATTTTGTGCAAAGGTCGCTCGGAAATATCAGGAAGCAATTTGCTGAGTGCTTTGTAAAATTCATAAAAACAACGAAAAAAAAAACATTCGATGCAAATTTTCTTAATAACACTAGGAATGTATCATGAGTCATCTTTAGTTTCAATAAAAAATCATTTGCTTAAACGCAAGATATTGGCGAGCAGATTAAAACTTTTAATATGTTTCACATTTCAGCTTCTTTTGGTGTAAATTTCAGCAAGACAAATTGGGATTCCTCTTCTTCAGAAAAAATATTCGAATAGAATAGCATTTGTCCTCGACGAAGAGAGGCTTACTTCAAAGAAGTATGATTTCCATTAACTTGTATCTGAAAATCAAAATTACAAAAAGTAAAACATTTAAATACTGCTTTTTATTATGACTTATTTCTTTACTTGTCATATTTAGGTAACATTTTTTTAAATATTTTATTCTGTTATATGCTACATAAAATGAATTTTGGTTTTGGTTTTTCTGATGTTTGTTTGAAACAGGGGGTGAAGAGTGTGAACCAATTCGTTTTGAAATACCTTTAATGACTGAAGTTGTTTTCGTATCCCATATTCAGATCGCCAAATTTATAAAGGATTAACGTTGGTAGAAACCATTGATTCTTACGTTTTTCACAGACTTTGCATGCGAATAGTGATAGTGTGACTTTTGTGCTCTCAACTGTCCGAGATTTAAATCTACGTTAATCACAGGATGTTATATGAAGAAGAGAAAACCTCGCAAACGAAATTTAGAATAGATGAATTTCATATTCTAAAAACTTCGCATAATTTACTGAAAAAGAAAATGTTGTTAGAATGTATTCACTTTAGCAACATTTTCAACATTCATAGTTTTAATACAAAATGCCTTATATATGTAATGAATAATCGATTACTGACTTTATTTCGGGGGGGGGGTAATAAAACAGCCGTGCACATGGAATATTCAGAGGTCAAGTCAGAGTTACAAGTCGTATATTTGCTTAGTTAAATTGCAGCTTTAACCGGTAAACATACTACTGACAGATATACACCTCAGTAAACTAATGATTAATTTATTATGGATTTTCAATCCTTCGGATAGTTACTCATTATTGTTTTTTATTTAATAACGCATTCATTTAATATGAGGCTACAGTTATCATTAAAATTATTAATTAGCACTTAGGATGAATGGTAAATTTACTTTCACTATTTTATGTAATATATCAGTAATAGCTTTTCAGAAATTAAGGTATTTATCATAACTATCTTTTATTTGTGTTTTTAGTGAATTCGTTCACTTGCTCTGAGGCAGCAGTTTCACAGTTTGCAAAATTTTTACATAATTGCAGCTTCATCATATTCCAGAACCGCAATAATCCTTGCATGCAATTTAGAGCATATGGTTTACAAAATCGTCTTTGATAATCCCAAAGGGCATTTTGCGTTGATTCACTATAAACGGCGTATCATTTTTCAAATTGTTGCCATCAAATATTATCTCCTTGTATCATAGTTAAGGAAATTAAATAATGAAGAATCTGCACAAATGTCCGCATTTTTCTCGCATTGTGAAAAAACAACGGTACCTAGAGCTATCAAATTTTAAATAACGTAGTTTTCATCCGAACATGGGCACCTGGAAGCTCAAATTGTGAATTTCGGATTTGTTTTATTATTTATTTCATATTTTCTAAAATTTTAATGTATATTTCATTAACAAATTCAGCGACAAAGCAAGTAGTGACAAACACTGTATGGAAAAAAACATTTTTATCTCCAGCATTGTTGCTGTTGAATTGAATTTTATAAGCACCAAAAACGTGATATTTAATAAATAAAGTAAGCGCACAAAACGTTAATAATAAAAAGACAAAAAACGTTTTCTAAAGCCATCTTAGCTAGAAATCTTAACATTGGTATGCTGAATTGAAATAAGATTGGCAAAAATAAAAAAAAAAAAAGCAAAAATGCTAACACTTAATGCTGCATCGGGAATTCTAAACGTATACTGCTATGCTGATTTTAAAATTTTGTAATTTTGCTGTTGGATTGTAAATAACACAAGTGCGAAGAAATTGATTCTTAATAATAAAGCTAAAAAGACGAATAAATGGATTAGTAGGAGTGAAATGGAATAGTAGACTGGTAGACTGCGAACTCAGTGAGAGCGTAAAAAACCTTAACAAACCCTTTTGGGTGACCGTTAAAATCCGAAAACTTTCAGTTTTTAAATTTATTTATTTTCAGTTCCTTAATCCAGTATATTGGTAAATAAAATGTCTTTTCTATTAAAAAAACGTTTAACCTTTTAAACTTTTAAAGCACTTATTATTTTCCCTTTCGAACAGCAAAGATTTTAAACTAATGCATTTCCTTAACCGCACGATAAAAATAAAATCCAAATACAACAAGTCTCCAAATTTTAAAAATGTTGTTGCAGTTTATTATGGCAAAGCACTTTAGGACTATCTTCTTAAGGAAAGAAATGCCTTCATGGAGAATGTTTTAAGGGAAATACTTTGTATTCATGCCAAACTAACTGAGAAAAGAAAATTTCTCAGGCAATCAGTTCCTTCACCGGGATTCGAGAACTGCCATTGTTCAGTCGCCTTATCCACTAAGCCTCTGGTGGGTACGCCTATTAATGTTTTAAACTTCTAATCATCAACTATCTTCATGCACAATTTTAAATCTTCCATACTTTCATCAAATAAAGAATTATATCTCTCTCTTTAGTGAATAAATAATTAATAAAAAATCAAAAGGATATCCAGATGTGTATAATATGTGAATGCCATTAAAAGGTTTGTAGCTCTATGAGAAACTTCTAGGTATTCTGCATCAATCTACTACTAAATTTAGGAGCTGCTTTTGCTTAAATTTAGATTTTATCGTCAAATCTGTTGATATGCCGGTTAGCTGTTCCCTTTCCTTCACCAGAAAGCCTTCTGATTTACCGTAGTACTCGAACGGACCGCATAAGGTGTTCCATGAAAGCAGGCATGCGATGAATCTTCTACTCTGCCAAATGTTTTGGCACCCATTGCGCACAAACCTTGCGGTATCGCAAACTTTCACGCAGTATTGTGTGCACTCTTCTTATTCTCATAGACATTTCCTCTGCTATTTCTCGAGTGGTGATTCGCCGATTCATTTTCACGAGATGGTCCACATCTGCAACTGCTTCCTGGATGATCACCACATGCGCTTGACCAGGTCGTGGCCTGTTGTCAGTACTGCTTCTTCCACTACAAAAATCCCTACACCATTGGGATATTGATCCATTTCGTACACATTTTGAATTCGACAATAGATTTCAGAAGCACTCACATTTTCCGCTGTTAAAAATTGACACGAACGATCCCTGTTAACGTGCTTCGATGCTATCACACACGCATCTGGCAGGATCTGATGATATCGCATGCACTCAGAGCACTCTGCGCCTTCTATAGTCGCATGTATAGCCATCTTTCTCTACAAATTGTCTGAGTTATTACAGCAATGCCACTTTCATTTGAACGGCCGTTATATCACAAAATGTATCTTCATATTTTTTAGTTAATAAACACTAGCCAACTACTGTGAGTACTTTATAATTTTGTTTTTTAATTTTTAGTTTTGACTGGTGAAACTCCGAGGTTTGACTCATGAGATCTCATAACTCTATGGACACAACTGAAGACCGTCTAAAACATAAGGCATCTATTTCTGGAGATATTCACAGGAAAATAAGGTTTGCGCATATAATATATGTATTTGATATGCCGATATTGTTCTAAAAGGGAAGTAATTAAACTGCTTTAAATGGTAAAATATAAAATAAAACTTTATAATTCATTTTCTTTCAAAATAAGTAGAAGTCAGTGTTTAAATGGTATGTTATCTCAAGACATTTCTTGATGATAAATCTCAGTATGAGGCAGATATGGTTTTCAGATCAGAATTTTAAAAGAAAAACATCTTAGATTCGGAATATTGTAGTAAATGTTTTCATTGGTGATTTAGAATAAAATTTATTAGGCTGATGAAACAGTTGTTGTATAAGGTACTTCTCCCGCCTTCTTAACGAGCCTCCGTGGTATAGTGGTCTGCACGCTCAGCGCGTAATTGAGAAGTCCGCTGTTCGATTCCCGGCGAAGGCGTTGTTAATTTTTACTCTTTCCTGCTTCCAAAAAATACCTAATGTCTCTACAGTTGATTAAAGCTCACTTATCGTACGTATAGTAAGTCCAAGTCCCCGAAATTCCTCGCAGCAAGGAGCGCAAAATTTCGCCTGTCATTGGCAACAACCTTGAGCACCTTACAGGTGACAGGACGATTCAGCTCAGTTCCGCCCCCTAATTTTGATGGAGAGCACCCGGGGTCCGAGGGACTCCCACCCCTGTTCCCCTACCACTAACCTCTCGAGAAGACTTTCAGTTCGCCACATATTTAGAGTGTCCCCATGCCACACGAACACTATACTTTTACAAAAATCCATGCCTTCTCCGGGACTCCAGCCCCGGCCTTTTGGCCCGACAGTCAGCGACGCTAACCACTATAGCGGTTGGGCGGCGGTTGATGAATTTCTGTATGCTTACACAGTTCTTGTGCTAATAAATTTAAAAAAAAAAGAATCTATCCTTTTTAAAAATTTTATTGCATGCATTTTAAACACACCAGCTGACACATTCTGGAAGGAATGGAGCAACAATTTAGTAAGACAACCAATAGCATTAAAAAAAGTTGACCAACATCATACAGCGGTGTTCCGAAAATGTTTCATTTTTTAGAATACCACAACTTTAAGAATTAAGATTTATTCAGATCAATTTCTTATGACTAAATAGAATCTTAAACTGAACAGATCTACTCAACTTTTCCATATTGACTTCTACTTATCCCATGGAATGCACTTCCTTTGAGAAACCTTTTGAACTCTGGGGCATAGACATGCCAAAGCGTAATCATATGCACAGTGTATCTATTTACAGACAAGAACCTATTTGATTTCAAACCTTTGAATATCATTACAATCATATGTGAATTGATACGGCTCAAAACCTTATACCTCGCAAGGTTGCTTTATAAACATTGTCATCTCTATAAGTGCATCCCCCTCTCCAACTTTTATTTAATTCTTCATAGTGTTACTTTTATGTTATATTTCACATATGCCTTTCTTATGTTGCCACACATTCATGAAAATGACATTATTAATTATGGCACAATACAAAGTTCTTTCGTAAATTACTGCAAGAAACTATGTTCCTACAGAATCTTGTGCATATCCTTATAATAGCGAACTGCATATGTCACAGTGTAGTACTTACACAACTTATCTATGTTTACGTTAACTATATAATCCATGTTATTATAACAACATTTAGTTCTTAAGGTTGCAAGCTATTATGCTCATAAGTATTGACTTTCATTTTTGGTGTACTAATGATAGAAATCTACTTTCATTCACTGAAAATATTACTGTGTATTAGTAATAGCGTATAAAGATTTTTATAACAGCATTTCTTATATGTAACAGTACAAATTAGAGAATTCGTAATCTAAGTATCAAATATACGGTATATCATCGGATTGTAACTGAATTCATAGTGTTGTAACATATATAATGCCGAAGGTTGAAGTTGTAACCGTATTTAGCTTGACCTTTGTACAAGTAAATTTGTAAATCACAAGATTTTGTAACCTTAACTTTGCACTAGCGCAAGATCATTTTTACTTTGTTTCTTCTTCACAACTGTTTAATTTCTTATTGTATTAAGCTTATAATAACTGAATGTTTTTTTTTAGTTGCTTCAAGCAAAGATGACAATGTAATTATTTTTGGATTGTGACTCTGTAACTCGATTATGTTAAATTAATGCCTGTCTGATCTGCCTTGATCAATTGAGGCTGTGGCGGAGCTTGTAGTAGACTTCCACTGATCGGCTACTATTCCGCTTAGTAATCTTTTAGATAATCTTAGGTCGGAAGCCTGCTATGTGCTATATGTATGCATCAGTATCCTATCTTGTTAAACAACAAATGTTTTTTTCACGAGTATTTCATGTTTATTAAAATAAATAAATAAATTTGTTAAAAAAATCTGAAAGCTATCAGATTTTATATTGAGCTTAAAGGGACCTTTCTAAGCTTTTGTGTGTTACACTTCTTTTTTTATTAAATGTTCTCTGCACACAGAAATTTGCATTTTTGTGTTGTTTCGGCTTAACGTACATTTGTCAAAAATTAAGAATTGCAATTAGTTTCTGTAGCATGTAGGTTCCGTTGATATGTGTCAAAAATAAAATAAAAAAGATCTCAGAAATTAAGCACTTTAATTATTAAAAATATGATTTAGGAGAAAGAACCAACACATTTCGACCACAAGTTTTTATATATTGCGCAATATTTTGACCTTTTAGGGACGCATCTGGTCCTGGGCTCATGTTAATGGAAGACAACCGCTTGTCCACTTTCGGCTTAGCTAGTCGACGATTACATGGAAGTGTGGATATTCGCCGTATGGATTGACCACGCAGAGTTCCTGACCTTAACCCTATATAATGTGTCTGAGACGCTCTTGAAAAGGCAGTTTCATCTCGTTATCCCCCTCGTACAACTACCCTGTAGTTGAAAACTGATTTACAGCAAAACTGGTCTCGACTGACACAGGGACTCCTGAATTGCCTGCTGTCTAGTATGCCATCACGTTACACGGCCTGTCTGTCTACGAGAGGGGATAATACCTCCTATTAGACTCGATTTCAATTCGATATCATAACGTGGGTTCTGGACATTGCTGCAATATGGGCTTTACTGATAATTACTTTTGATCGGAACATCTCTTTCTCTCTTATAAACGCATAGTCATACCAAATTTCTATGACATCTGTTAATTAGTTTTTCAGAAATACAACAGTGTGTGCAAATTCTCCAAAGTTTGCACACCAGTGTATTTGAGCGAATTCTAGTTGATGCTGTATGATTGATAACATACTCAAAAATCGTTTCTTACTCAGTTCCATAATTTACACCAAAATGTTTCACTATACATTCAGGTAACTATGAACTTTAAATTGATGCCATAATAAAAGCGCTTACAATTTCAAGGGTGACAAGTGAATATGAATAAATATTATATTCTTAACAAACAATAAATGGGACACCGCTTTTTGTTAGTCCATATGGTTCCCTCTTCTTCAAGAAGCAGAAACATAAAAGTTATTTTAAAATCGTAGCTGGAGTTTTATGTCCTTAACTATTTATATATTTCCAATTGCCAATACTTTTATAATAAAGTAGAGAATATTACAAGAAGAATATGAGGTCTAGGGATTGATGTAAGGGTTCGATAAATATGGATTTTATATTTTTGTGTAATCTAGGTAGAAAAAAAATGCCCTATTTGTAAAATCTTAACTTTGTTTGAGAAAGTTAAATCTTTGCAATTTCATGTAAAAATTATTAAAAAGAACATTTTACTAGGAGTGGCTTATAAACTTAAATTATTAGTGTTTTTTTCCCAATACTAAAATTCAACTTGCAAAATGAGCAAATGTTTTGCAGCTGTTCATATTCCTCAAATTTTTAGAACTTTTAGCGTATATTTAATTTGGATATAATTAATATTGTGCATAGAAAAATGATCTATGTCAGTAAAACTTTGTTCTCTAATATCTCCCCAAATCATTATAAAGCTGATTTTTTACCTAGCTTTGACTAGTACTGTCAGGAATTTCTTTCGTATATTATGCTGTAAGTTTGCCAAAAACATAGATTGATAAAAATATTCAATAAAGGTGTTACTTGGTAGTAACTTATTTCCTGAATGTTTATAATAATTTTCTCAGAAATTATTATAAACATATTTATTTAAATCAAATTCCAGTATTTAAGATCAGTCCACCAGTGGCCGAGCGGTAAAGTCGCTTAATACTGGTAGTTTGGTCCAAGGTTCGAATCCTGAGAACGGGCTGGCTGATTGGGCATTTCAGAGGTTTTCCCCATGTGTAAAAGTTTATATGATCCAGTTTCCCCTGGAAAGTTCTCCACGAAAGCATTCCTCCTCTTAGGCAGATAGCCCTGGAGGCTTCGCTGTAATCACGTAAGACCAAAACCAAACCAATGTTCAGGTGAGGTTAACATTCCATTATTCGCAAAACAGCTAATAGGAAATATGTTTTGTTTAGAAATTTTATTATTCTGCTTCAGTTATTCCGAAATTTAAATACTTTGTTACGATAGACATTCTCAGCAAACAAGAGACATAATTTTAAACATATCATCTTTATGCAAACAGTTACATACCTTGGAGGTTTGTTTACATACCGATATGTATCAAGTAGGATAAAACAATGACATTTGTCCTTGTTATCGCAATTTCTACCAGATAACCTTGATACATAAGATAAGAAGATCCTTGTCTGTAAGATAATCATTTGTTCCGAAATCGTCTTGGAATATAATATACACAAATTATATTTTCAGTGCTACCAAAAATAAAACAAAAACCGTCTTCCAATGTTTCTTTCTTTCACCATTTTAACCCCCATAAATATTTATAAGAGTTATTTTTAACTATCTGATTTCCTTATTTTATATAGTTATATACTTTTGCAATTATGTCCATTGCCATCGGAGTAGAAATGAAATGTAAATTATTTTGTGTAACATTTTATCAACCATAAACATTTAGACTTATTTTAAACTACCTGATTTCCATATTATATACATTTATATGTCTGTACCTTT